CGCCTAAACAACTAAACCGATTTCTGTGATATTTGCTACAGTTTGGAACTCCAGAAAGGACATAGGATGGTTTTTATACCAAATATCTGCAGGAAGTCTCTCACTACCACGCGATGGAAGTCGCGGGCAAAAGCTAGTAATTTAATAGCAATAATTATTACAACGGTTTTTTTGTGAGGGGAAAATCATCAAATGACTTCTCCCGCCCAGAGTGAGGCGAGAGAGAGTGTCAGACTCTTACTGATTAAACATACCCCCCTGTTCCTTCTCCTGCTCTGGGCCGAGGTCGCGGTGCCTCATTGCGCTTACCCCGCAACCCCGGATGAACATCAGCCATATAGGGCCACGTCTGTGGTAATTATAATAACGCTAAGCTCAAAGTTTGAAAAGTCCTTAGGATTCTTTGACTCGATATTAGTGTTACACTGTTGTCACATAAGGAAACCGACTAATAATGTATCTAAGAATCTGTATGTGACACTTATTGAAAAAGAGTAACCATGGAGTGGATTGAAAAAGAGTAACCATGGACTATCTAAATAATCATAGAAATATCATAGAAAGTACATATAACTCGGAAATAGTCACATTGGTACTTGCCAGGTTTCGAACAAATTTTTATAACATGAGAAGTGGGCTCCTAAACTTACTGTTGAGTATTGAACTAGATAGACTATCATTGGTCATTCGATGTACACGTGATTTGCAATTTACAATCTATTACATAAAAATACTAGCTACTCTCGCACGGTTTCACCCGAACATTGTAGCTATCTATCAGTGAAAGAATTTTAGCAATTCGACCAGCCGTTCTAAAGACTACCCCCTACATACAAACTTACAAATATTACCTCTTTATAATATTATTATAGAAGTATAGTATAGATTGACCTACTCTTCATCGTTCTTAATTTAAATACTTACATTAAATATGATTCTGTTTTAGCAACATTCATTAATTCATTGATTTTACGATATTATCCAAACTAATATTATAAATGCGAAAGTAACTCTGTCTGTCTGTCTGTCTTTTCTTCACGCCTAAACTACTGAACCTATTTGTGTGAAATTTGTTACAGACATAGTTTGGAACTCGAGAAAAGACATAGGAAATCTGCAGAAAGTCACTATTTCACGCGAGCAAAGTCGCGGGCAAAAGCTATATTAGTTGTTTCTAAGTGTTAAAAAAATATGACAACAATATTCAAAGAATATTTACGAAACAAGACTAAAAAAGTATTGAATTTGACTAGCGTAGTTATTTAGTACCGAATTTATACATTCCATTCGCTAATGTCATATTATACATAACGTAACTCCGATTTTTTTTTTCAATAAAATATCACGCAGTTTGATATTTACTTTCACTTTTTTGACAGCATTGAGACACAGATACAAGAAATAATGTTCAATACTCACAACGAAAGAAAAGGCGTTAGGATAAATCCAAAAAGGCACAGCACTACACAAAAAAAGTTGCACAGAAATTCAAAAAGTTTTCTTTTAAAAATTTTCTTCTTCAAAAGTAAACAAACTTCAGGTGTTATACGGGTAAATTGGAAAGGCACGGGGCGACCAAACGCGGTGTTGTTATCAACGGATTTTAAAATCGGTCGGTTAACAAACTGAATGACATTCGGACGCGAGGACGATCATAGACTGACTGAACGATTACTTCAATCCGAGTTGATGTGATGACGTCATATTTATAAATATAACAAGATATATGCTTCGCATGATAATAATTTGATAACATATAATGGTTCGAAGATGTTTTTTTCGTTGGCAAAACATGTCCGGCTTATTTTTTACGAATATTAGATAACTATATTCGCGTGTTTCATCAGTGGTGCATAATTTTAGTCTACTGGACAATAGATGGCGTTACTGGTCGCTTGGTTGAGGAAATATTTAATGAAAAATAGGTTTGTTATTATTTTATGACGAGTTTCATTAACCTAGGTGTGTTTAGTTGTTATTTAGTATAAGGGATTACATGAAAAGTAATTGTAATTGAAATATTAGTACTCGTTTTCAGTTATTCCACTCAAAACAACATATTTTATGCGATTGTTTTTGACCTTGGCGATACGTTTGTAAAAAATAGATGATATAATTACATGAGTAGGTACAAGTCGCATGTGTTGTTAACTGCGACGTAGCTATAATGTTGTACTTATACGATTGATTGATAGGAATTTAAAGATCTTGTTTCTTTTTTAATTAATGTTCTTTCCTTCACGGGACCACATGGTCCCGGACCTTTGGAAGGCGTACGAGGAGCCGAAGCCAACTCGCAGAGGCCTGTTGAACAGTTTTAATATAAATGTGGTGGGACATCTTATTATTATTATTTTTAAACTTTTTTTAAGTGATAGGTCGGCAAACAAGCATATGGATTACCTGATGGTAAGCAACCAGTGCCGCCCATGGACACCCGTAACAACAGAGAGTTAAGAATGCGTTGCCGACGTTTTGGGGATTAGGGATTTGGAGATTTAGGAATTGGGGAAGGATTGGGCATCCGATAACCTCAATCACAAGGCGAAACACAACGCTGTGGTTGTTTCACGCCGGTTTTCTGTGAGGCCGTGGTATCACTCCGACCCATTCGTGCCGAAGCATGGCTCTCCCATACTACAATCGTAACCTACACCTTTCCACCGTTATAAATCGAGGGACTACAACTAGTAGAGAACTCTCTCTCTCTCTCTCTCTCTCTCTCTCTCTCTCTCTCTCTCTTTCTCTCTTTCTCTTTTGCTTTTAATTCTTTTTATCCTAATTTAAATGGTCACAATATGCACTATCACTTTTCCTTGCATCTACCACTAGATTGTCTCTGCATCATCCAAAGGTAAACTGGTAGAGAATGTCCAACGCATTGAGGCAGAGCCACTGAAATTCCGGGAGAAAATATGGTGGTGCCTCCTCGAGGGAAGCTGTATCAAGTGATAGTTTTTTCTTGATCGTATTGATATCTTTAGAGTCACTCCTCGACCGCAAACCCTTAAAAATCCGGAAAAAAATCTCACAGAGCGTAGAGCACAGTTCAGAGGCTTGCACCAGGAGAGGCAAGAGACTCCAACTTCAGACCTTGGCGCCCTCCAGAATTTGTCGCCCCGGGCCATCGCCCCATCATGCCCCTACACTGCATTGAGGCTACCCTATGCACAATTTTTTGTGCATAATAAATGTATTTATTCACTTACTACCGGAATGTCGTGGTGGCCCTGAGGTTAAGGAGCCCGCTTCTCGTGCATGAGGGTGTGGGTTCGAAACCTGGCTAGTACCAATGTGACTTTTTCCGAGTTATATGTACTTTCTATGATTATTTAGACACCACTGACATAAGGTGAAGGAAAATATCGGGAGGAAACCTGGACTTATAATTTCTAATAAGTTTGAAATAGCCAACCCGTATTGAGCAAAAAGAAAAAAAAAACAGTAAAATATAAACCTAAATAAATAAATCAATGAAACATCAGCTTTACACGGCGCTGATTGCTTACCATCAGGAAATCCGTCTGCTCGTTAGCCGATATCTATACTAATATTATAAAGAGGTAAAATTTGTAAGTTTGTAAGTTTTGTATGTAGGGGGTAATCTTTGGAACCGCTGGTCGGATTCCCAAAATTCTTTCACTCATTGATAGCTACAATTTACCCGAGTGCTATAGGCTATAAAACATCACGCTACAAAATCAAATGGAGCTGAATAGTAAGTGAAACTGCGCGGGAGTAGCTAGTTATGCTATAAAAGAGTAAGGAAATTTAAAATACGAATTTAATTACCTACAAAAATTATAATTAGCTGTTAATCGTTAACAATAAGTACTTACTTGATTTTTTTTCATTTTCATATTAGTTTAGTTAGGAATCATATATTCATAAAAAACAATGTTTGTGTAAAATTTAATTCCTGAAAAATATGAATAATGTTACAATTTTTTAAATTCATTGTAATTTTATATTGTGAGTACCTATGTATGTTTAAATAACTATTTTCATATAAAACACATCATTATACATATTTTCGTCACGTCACTATTCGAAATTGCTCGACAAGTTTCTAAATACAGCGGGGCTCATAAAGATAAGCAACGCGGCGTTGTATGTGATTTTTTTTTCTTTTTTAAAAAAACGTTGCCCCACACCAAAGGAGTTGTAGTTAATGCGTTTACAAACTTACAATGTCACATACACATGACACTCAGACCCGAAATAACAATTTGTGGATCACACAAAGTGTTGTTCCGTGCGGGAATTGAACCCGCGACACGTTGCACGGCAGCCAATTGCCCAGCCACCGCACCAACCGTGCAGTCAAATGCATATTGAGATTGGATTTTTTTTCATTAAGGAGAGAAGTTGATCAATTGACTTCTCCCGCCCAGGGTAAGGCGAGAGGGTGTGTCAGACTCTTACAGACTAAAAACCCCCCGTTCCTTCTCCTGCTCTGGGCCGAGGTCGCGGTGCCTCATTGCGGTTACCCCGCAACCCCGGCTGATTGCCAGAGAAGTTGCAAGTGCATTGTTGGTCCTAAACAGATAAGGACTTTTGAGAATTGAGGTGGGCTGGGGGGAGGGAAGGATTGGGTCTCCGATAACCTCAGTCACTCAGTGAAACATCCCGCTTTGGTTGTTTCACGTCGGTTATCTGTGAGGCCGTGGAATCACTCCGGTCGAGCTTTCACACTTTTCAAACTACCCTTAGGTAGGTATCCATCTGCTGCTGCTAATGGGTTACAAAACAAAACCTGATGGTAAGCAATCGGCGCCGCCCATGGACACTCTTCTTAAGGGTTCTTGTTTAGGTATTAGGGGGGATTGGGACACCGGTAACCTCATTCTTGGTATTACTCCCTTCGTGATTTGCATGGCTCTTGCACTTGGATTTGCATGGGCAACTGGCTGCCGTGCAACGTGTCGCGGGTTCGATTCCCGCACGGAACAACTCTTTGTGTGATCCACGAACGTTCCGGGTCTGGATTCCGGGTGATAATGACTGCACGGTTGGCGCGGTGGCTGGGCAACTGGCTGCCGTGCAACGTGTCGCGGCTTCGATTCCCGCACGGAACAACTCTTTCTGTGATCCACGAACGATATTGTATGTGAGTTTGTATGTTTGTAAACGCATCCACAACACAGGAGAAAATCCTAGTGTGGGGCAACGTTTTTTTTTCAAAAAAGAAAGACTTATAAAGTTTTTTCTCGAAACAGATATAGAGCAAACGCTATGCAAACAAGACTTTTACTATAAAAAATATCAGGAAGACAAGAATGCCCAAGATGCACCAGATAGAATTATTAATCTAATGCGTTCATATTATGAAGAGAATCACGCGAGAATTGCAGCTTTAAACCCTTTGAGGTTCATGTACGAAGAAAGCCCATACTATGAACAAGGATATGTCATTTCAGAAATACTGGAAAGGTATTTTTCAAGATTATTTATGTGATAGGATAGGTCGACAAACGAGCAGACGGATTACTTGATAGTAAGCTATCAGGGGTGTGATTCTGTAAGACTTCATTCTAAATTTCGAATATGAATCCGCTGTGAGTAGTAGTACACTAGCGCTACACTTGCGAGTTGAACTAAATTGACAGTAACATTTTGATAGATAAAGTATGAGATGACGTTAAAAGTGGCATTCTAAAATTTAATTTCCCCGTCATTTCGACGCTCACTTCGCACTCGAACACGATTCAAAATCAAACAAATTTTATAGAATCGACGTGCAGATAATGTCGTGGTGGCCCGGAGGTTAATGCGCCCGCTTCTCATGCATGAGGGTGTGGTCGAACCCACCTGGCAAGTACCAATGCGACTTTTTCCGAGTTATATGTACTTTCTGTAATTATTTAGACACCACTGACATACGGTGAAGGGAAACATCGTCAGGTAACCTGGACTTGTAATTTCTAAATATACATAAGTTTGTAATCGCCAACCCGCATTGAGCAAGCGTGGTGATTAATGCTCAAACCTTCTCCATGTGAGTAGAGTGTGCTTTTTGCTCAGCAGTGGGCACTTAGGCTGATGATGATGATGATGAAGCAATCAGCGCCGCCCATGGACAGTCGTAATACCGAAGGAGTTTCTACAAATGCTTTGCCGACCTCTTGTGAGTTATTAGGGATTTAAGGATTTGGTTGAAGATGGAAGGGGAGGGATTGGGCCTCCGGTAACCTCACTCACACGGCGAAACACAACGTAAATGTTGTTTCACGCCGGTTTTCTGTGAGGCCGTGGTATCAGACTTCAGTCGAACGACGTCGACGGACCATTCGATGGAAGCATGGCTCTATTTTCTTTCAGACTAGTTTTTGTTCGCGTGGAATAGTGACCTTTTGCTTTGCCGTAGTCGGGTAAAAAGGTTTCAATATAATAATGAGCTGAGGATGCTGTTGGGACTGCCAGAGACTTCTATGCTATTATACGCAAGCGAGGTACAGTCAGGGGTCAAAAATGCAATTGCACTCTACCAATTTCAAAATGACTATAAATATCTTTGTAGAATACAGTAAATGGTCGAGGACTGCTTTAATTTATAACATAGAATCTAAATCTATATATATAAAAGAAAGTCGTGTTAGTTACACCACTTATAACTCAAGAACGGCTGAACCGATTTAGCTGAAAATTGGCAGGGAGGTAGTTTAGAGCCAGGAGAAGGACATAGGATAGGATAGGATAGGATAGAGTAGGTAGAGTAGGTTAGGTAGAGTGGGGTAGGTAGAGTAGGGTAGGTTGAGTAGGGTAGGAACAGTAGGGTAGGTAGAGTAGGGTAGGTAGAGTAGGGTAGGTAGAGTAGGGTAGGTAGAGTAGGGTAGGTAGTCAAATGACGGGAGCGACGCCGCGGGTAAGAGCTAGTTATTGAATAAACTGGCTGTGAACCATTGAACTTCTATTACAAAGAAATTTTAGTCATTTTAAAATCGGTAGAGTGTAATTGTATTTTTGACCCCTGACTGTACATCGCTTGCGTATAATGGCATAGAAGTCTCTGTCAGTCCCAACAGGATCATCAGGCCAAAGAGGGTTATGATTTCGCCAGGCTATGTATGTATGTATGTTCATCTGTTCCCTCGTAACTTCTAAACTACTAATCAGAATTCGACATATGACATATCATTAGAAACGTCTTCATTGTACGCTGGTTATAGGCTATATGGGGTATCATAAATGTGGCGTCATCTAGCGGACATAACATACGGACATCGATGACTAATTTTATTAGTGATCGATGCATGCGGAGTAAAAAAAAGGCGCTTTGCTTGTACATTTTAAATATATATTTATTATTTGATTTTCTTTGAGGTCAGAGAGTCATCAAATGTCTTCTGTCGTCCAGGGTGAGGGTAGGGGAACCCTGGTCCGAAACTGGTCCTCCTCCTGCTACAGGCCGAGGTCACATTATATTGTTGCGCTATCTCCGCAAACCTTGCCATCTTTTATTTCTTTTCTTTATCAGGTTTCCAGTAAATTATTATTTGTTACTAGCTGACCTTGAGAGAGACTTTAGAGAGGAACTGGGACATCGAGAGGAACTGGGACGTCGAGAGGAACTGGGACGCCGTCTCCTCCTTCTGTGAAGCAGTGATGCTCGCAAAGGAGGAGGCGGAGCGCGTGAGGGAACTATCCTCCTCGCCGCAGTAGGCGACTTTCTGGGCGTCGAGGATCTAGAGATGATCTTCGGCCACCAAGAGCACGGGTCTGCGGACGGCGAGTAAGGGTAGCTCGCCGCCCGACCAGAACCAGACCCGAGCGTACGGCGCGTAGCGTTCCGCGCGCGACTCAAAGAGTCAATAGGCCACCACAGACGGGGCCAGTTAGGGCTGATGTTCAACCGGGGTTGCGCAATGAGGCACCGCGAGGCCGAGCCCAGAGCAGGAGAAGGAACAGGGGGGTTTTTAGTCAGTAAGAGTCTGACACTCACTCCTTGGGCGTAAGAAGTCATTTGATGATTTTCTCCTCATAAAAAAAAAACTAGCAGACCTTGCAATGTTTGTTGAGCCGTATTATTATTTCCATTCCATTTATTTACCATCAACAAGTGTGGGAGAGCCATGATTCGGCACGAATGGGTCGGCTTGACCGGAGTGATACCACGGCCTCACAGAAAACCAGCGTGAAACAACCACAGCGTTGTGTTTCGCCGTGTGAGTGAGGTTACCGGAGGCCCAATCCTTCCCCTCCCCGTATCCCTTAAAGGTCGGTAACGCACTCGAAACTCCTTCGTTGCGGGTGTCCATGCCTCCATGGGCGGCGCCGGCGCTGATTGCTTACGATCAGGTAATCCGCCTGCTCGTTAGCCGACCTATATCTTTAATTAAACTAAAAATGAAATTCTTTCAAACCTATACTATCGTCGGTAACGAAACCATAGCGCGATCTATCTCGATCCCAACGCCATCTATCGAGCTAACGTACAACATTAACAAAATATAATTATTTTCAATATTAAATCGCGCTATGATTCCGTTGACCTTCAGTTACATACTTAGACACCATGTCGATACCAGAAGTATCAATTAACGTAAGGGACATTTTGACGAAAATAAGTTATATATATCATTGGATTCAGAATTTTGCGCTCTATCGATTGGTATTATTAAAAAAAATCTATCGTTAAAAAAAGAGCCCTTACAGTAAAAATTTTTGGCCTGCGTAAAACGATTTATGACAGAAAAATTGATGTAACAGACATTTATATATTTTTTTCTCTGAAAAATAAAGTAAGTCATAGTATTAAATAATTTACACCCTTACCTTAAACCTCAAATCAGTCAATTTAAATAACATGTCCCTTACAAGATTATTGTTTTTTCTAAATTATTCTCTTACATTATTATCTCACAAAGGAAATAAGAATTTTGGGATTGGAAAAAGAAGTGCTGCTAGAGGTAAAATTAAAAAAAATATAGACAACAAAAATGAATCTGCAGCTGAAAGTACTAGCAATGACATAAGTCAAAGGAACACAGACAATTTGCCATCTCTATATAAAGAGAGGCTCCCAAATTCCATTCCAAAATACAATGATCTCAAAAAATTGTGCGACACGGGCATAATACCAAAAAGATTTCATGTTGAATATTTGAACCTGCCGACTAAATCGTCAGTTAAAGATACCCTCATTGAAACTGACGACGATGAAGATGTGAAGACAGCTGATGACGATAACTAGATAAAATACCAAATAGAAAAAGTTATTTCAACCCTTCCGATTACACCATTAAAAAAGTTTAATTTACTAATAGTTATCATCATAATCTGTCTGCCCATTCCTAATTGTTATATATTTATTCTTGTAATAATATATATATTAGTGTTCATGTTTTATATTATTTTATTCATATTTTTCTTCAGTCAATTCATATTTTTTCATCGTCTTTCGTTTCCAGTACATTCATTCAATTACTCAATAAATAAGACTGTTAATTAAATTTGAGAAAATATTTTTTCTTTTTTTATTATAAAACCAATGAAACGTAAGTATTAAAAGTACATCGTTTGTACAACTGTTAATTAAGGCCTCTTAGCTTTGTTCAATCATAAGAGATCATGGAGTCAAATACATAATTATATTTTTTTAAATTGATTAAAAGGTGTGTAAGACTGTTAATTTGAAGACTTTTAGGAAATTTATTTAAACTTAACAAAAACTGTTATAGACTGATTAGTGAGTTGAATTAATAATAATTACGCAGACATAAAAGTCGAAAATAATAAAAATATTTCATTTTTGTATCCCTAAATTTCATTTAAATTTGTGATAGCTGAGCTCATTAATCATGCAAAGAACCTATTTCCAAAGTATCAAAATACCATAATTTTAGTAGATAATCTATAGTTACATCAAACTGCAATACTATAAAAGTTCTTTACAGTAGAATTTCGTATAATTTTCTATTTCTTTTGCTGCTTACGCTATGCTTGACGGTTTACACATAAAATATTGGAAACGTAAGGCACTACTAAACATATTTTTTTAATGTAAGGGACATGCTATATTTTAAACCGCTGGGTATTCCAAAATATCATGTTTATAGCATGAAAGAAGAAGAAATTCTAAGAAACTTTGTCCTAGACACAATTAAAATAGGAAGCACCAGTTAAAAGTTATAGAGAGATTTAAAAAAATAAAATCGTTTTTTGGCTCTCCTGAAAATACGTGTTTTGTCCCTTACATTAATTGATACTTCTGGTGTCGATGTATTGATTTCTATATTATAATTCAGGTACAGAAAGATGGTTGAAACAGTTCAAAGGCCTTTTAAATATAAGTCGGATAGTTTCTTTGTGATCCTCAAGCGAGTCGAGTTGACACAAAAACTCTACTTCGAAATCTACCACTTGGCAAGGATGATGCATGAGACTCCAAGGAAATGGAAGAGTGTACCGGAGTTCAGGGAAACAGAGCAACTACCTATGTGTAAGTTGAAAGAATTGAGACGTTGCCGTTTTCTATCAAATGAAATACAGGGTGTAAAAAGACACTTAACGAAGCCGTTAACTACGCATACTGCAGTTCTAACTAAGTAGCGTTACGCTAAAATTATCACTGGGAAACGACTTTTATTTTTAGGTATCAAAAAAATAATAATTTTATTGCGCGCAATGTAAAGCAAACGGGCTTCGTGTCATTGTGTGCGTAGGTTCACAGCTTAGCATTAAAACGCTGTGATAAGTGAGTAGGTCGACGTTTTACTTCGCAACAACAAAACAATTCTGTAAAATAAAAATCCTACTGAGATGCACGACGTTTTTTGTGCGGGTCTGCATTTATTTATTACGTACCTAGTTACATTACTGTTCGTAACATCAAATGCGTAATTTATTTAGAAAAATCGAAAATTCAAGTAATGTTTGTTTGGAAAAAAGTTTTGTAATAATACTCAGAATTCGATTGCGCAATAAAATAAAAAATAAAAATGCATCTTTGACCTTCAATATCTCGAGAAACCGTGGAGTCCCAGCTATGGTCTTAAAGAAAAAAATGATCCAAATAATGGGTAGAATACGTGGCTTTCGGCTTCGTTAAGTGTCTTTTTACACCCTGTAAACATGCCGAAGAACGTATCGGGCTATGCTCAGAGTAGGGTTCCAGCGGATTTCAACACAGGCACAGTTTTTTTTGTTGTGAGTGTAAAATCAAAATGACTTCTCCCGCCCAAGGAGGGAGTGTCAGACTCTTAACTGACTGAAAACCCCCCTGTTCCTTCTCCTGCTCCGGGCCGAGGTCGCGGTGCCTCATTGCGCTTACCCCGCAACCCCGGCTGAACATCAGCCCTATAGCCTTGTATACCTAGTCTAGCCATAAATACTGTTACAAATATAAAAATATTTTTTTCTATTGCAAATAACATTTATTACTTTTACAGTATGTAAGTTTAATACATAAATATAAAACAATTTAAAACATAAAAAGCTTATTCGAAGTGGTCTCCATTGGCTGCATTAAAGTCCTTTAAAGGTTGAGGCCAGTTATCAATAGAAGCACGCACTCTTTCCATGGGAAAATTCTTCACTGCCAATCGTATGGATTGTTTTATGGAGTCCAAATTATCATGACGTTTAGAGCAAGCCCTACTCTCTAAAACTGATCATAAATCATAATCCAGCGGATTAAGATCGGGACTAGACGACGGCCAGTCTTCAGCTCTGATGAAGTCGGAAACGTTCGTTTCCAACCAAGACTGCGTGGACCGAGCTTTGTGACCCGGCGCCGAGTCTTGCTGGAAGGACCATTGTTGGTTATTGAACATGGTGTTGTTAAGGGGCTTAACTACCTTCTCAAGAATGGTATTTTGATACACTTGTGCCGATGTTTTGATACCTTTTTCGCAAAAGTATGGCTCAGTCACTCCTTCATAGCTAACACCCCACCAAACCATCACTGAAGTCGGATAATGCCCACGTTGCACTCTGTCGACTAATTGAGAAGCTTCCTTAGAGCTTTGAGCATAAATACGGTCATTTTGTTTGTTAAAAGGTTGCTCAATTGTAAAAAATTCTCATCCGTAAACAAAATTTTTCTGTGACCTCCCTTTGCGTACCGCTTCAGTAGTTGTTTAGATTTTATCACCCTATTCTTTTTTAAATTATCATTTAAAAAATGTCCAATGCGTCTCTTATACGCTGCAAGTCCTAAGTCGTCTTTTAAAATACGCGACATGGTTCTAGGTGCTATCTTCATCTCTCGAGATAAAATCTTTTGCTTTCTGACAGGATTTCTTCGAATTCTTTCCCTTACTGCTTTGACCACCTTTTTCGTACGAACACTACGTGGATGGCCAGATCTTTTTCTGTCACAAACAGAGGAGGTCTCATTGTACCTATTAACAGCCCGGTACACAAACATTTGACTAATGCCAAGCGTGTGGAGAGTTTTAAAAATTGCATTTGGCTCCATACCCACTTTGTGTAATGCAATCACAACGATTCGGTTCTCTTTATCAACCATTAATATCGCAAAATATTGAACAATTTATTGGCGCCAAAATAAGAAAACACAATGAAAAATTATATAAAAATGACAGATTCCAAATTCAAATGTAATATTTTGTTTATTTTTAATAATAACAGTATTTATGGCCAGACTATGTATATATATACATATATAACCCGTCTGTGGTGGTCTATTGGCACTTTGAGGCGCGCGCGGAACGCTACACGCCGTACGCTCGGGTCTGGTTCTGGTCGGGCGGCGAGCTACCCTTACTCGCCGTCCAAGACATTGCCTTGTAAGGAGTACACTCGTTTCTTGAAAGTTTGAATGTCGAGAGATGATCTCCGGCCACCGGTAGATCATTCCATCGCACAGCTGTTTATTGGATGACTAATTCGATAGGTTTATTAGTTATAATTGCAATTGAGTATTTTTGTAAAAATTGTATGTTTGTATATGAGGTGTAATCTTTGGAACCGCTCGGGTCGATTTGATAGAAAAAACAGGATTTGTACCTAAATTTTAATTTAAATGCCACCATTTTACTTTTAGCCAAAAACAAAAAAGGGGGTTCCGCAACTCTTTTGTCCGATGACGAGGCCCAAGGTCCAAGCGCAGAAGATTTGGCAAAAATAAACGAATTCAAAGAAGCAATAGGCGCCGCCGAGAAAAAACGGCAACTAGAAAAGAAAAGGAAACGTAAACTCAATAAAAAAATACGAGAATTGATATTGCAGAAGGCTGAGAAGTATCCCAACATGAAGTTCAATTACTCTGAATGGTTTAAACATTTGGAAAGGAAATATAATGAAAAGTGGCCCATTGATTACGGATGGGAAATCGAAGATGACTGGTAATAGGTACTGTCTGTCATCAGGCCAGGGGCCCAAGTCTGCTATTTTCAAAATATTGTCATTCCTACACGATTCCATCATAGTATAAAGAGAAAGGCAGTAAGTTATCTTCATACAAACGCATCGCGCGCGGCTTGTATGTGTGCGCCATAGTGTCTACGCGTCGACGCACGCACACTGTAACAAAATCTCGACTCGTTTCTCAGCGCGCCAGTCGGTTAGCCCCGACTGGCGCGCTGAGAAACGAGTCCCAATGTAGAGAGTCCCAATCCTTCCCCTCTCCTAATCCCTAATCCCAAAAAGGTCGGCAACTCACTCGTAACTCCTTTGTTGTTGGTGTCCATGGGCGGCGCTGATTGCTTACCATCAGGTTATCCGTCTGCTCGTTTGCCGACCCACAACATAAAAAAAATTCGTACGTAAATCACTGATTAAAGGAACTGTGAAAATTTAATTAATTTACCGCATTATGTCACATATACATTTGTAATTTTTTTATGGTATAGATCGGCATACGAGCTGACCGATTACCTGATGGTAAGCAATCAACGCCGCCCATGGACACCAACAACAAAGGAGTTACAAGTGCGTTGCCGGCATTTTAGGGGATTGGGGAAGGATGTGGGGGGGGGGGGGGAGGGATTAGGCCTCTGGTAACCTCACTCACGCAGCGAAACACAACGCTGTGGTTGTTTCACGCCGGTTTTCTGTGAGGCCGTGGTATCACTCCGGTCGAGCCGACCCATTAATGCCGAAGCATGGCTCTCCCACGCTTTTTATTTGTTATTAGAGATTACCATTCTGAACAAATTCATTCAATGAAGTGTCACTGGATGATCATTGGAAAATCATAATGCTATCATGTTGGTTGATTACCAAAATAAATCAACAATTTTGAAATCAATGATCCACTATTCTCACACTATTGTAACAGCAACCGACTAAATAATGTATCAAAGAATCTTTATGTGAAACTGATTTAAAAAGAGTAACCATGGAGTTTCTTGCTCGTTCTTCTCCATAGGAATCTACACTTTGGAACGAGCAAATAGCTTCACTAAGAGGACTGACTGACAGACTGACACTTGATATATTTAAAATTTTGTGTGACGTTCAAAAGTGCCTGTATCTAATTGAAATAAATGATTTTGACTTTTGAAAAAGCAGACTTGAGGCCCCCACACATCGGTTGCTCCTGTTCTTAAAGGCAATAAGGATTATTTTTGCTTGAAACGATTTTCGCATTAAAACTACGTGTGGACTGTTTGACGTTTTATTTTTAACTTAGGGCTTATTTTTCAATGGTTAGATAAAAGTTATTTGCGAAATAATTATGATGCTGTCGCGTCAGAATGTTTGTATAAGACAGAGACAACAATAATTTTATTCCTCAGATAACATTTATTTGACTATTGAAAAATCAGCCCTAAATTATGATTTTACTTAGCCATTACTATAGATATATAGAACCATAAAACTCCAGTTATGTGGATTAATTACCGTTTTTTCAGAATGATAGACCTTTGGACGGGAGAATAAAAAAAATCAAACTAATATTATAAATTCGAAAGTAGCTCTGTCTGTCTGTCTGTCAGTCTTTTCTTCTCGCCTAAACTACTGAACCGATTATTGTGAAATTTGGTACAGACATAGTTTGGAACTCCAGAAAGAACATAGGATATACAAGGATAGGTTTTATACCAAAAAGCTGCAGGAAGTAACTATACTTACCGCGCGAACGAAGTCGCGGGCAAAAGTTTGTATGTTAATAATATTTTCTTTTTGAATGTGACCAGCTGACCTGGTGAACTCCGTAACGCTTCAAATTATAACTGTATATTTGTTTTGGCCTTTTTTAAGCTTCCCTCTGGTCTTCCACGAAAAATTTAAGACCTAAATTAGCCAAATTGTAAAAGCCAATGCTTTTCGAATCATGCTAAGTTTCGAAGTAATGTTACACCTAAGTCAAATTTTGAGTGGCATTGATTTTTCAAGTGTGGGAGAGCCATGCTTCGGCACGAATGGGTCGGCTCGACCGGAGTGATACCACGGCCTCACAGAAAACCGGCGTCAAACAACCACAGCGTTGTGTTTCGCCGTGTGAGTGAGGTTACCGGAGGCCCAATCCTTCCCCTCCCTCAATCCCTCCTCAATCCCTTAATCTCCAAATCCCTAATCCCTAAAAGGTCGGCAACGCACTTGTAACTCCTCCGTTGCGGGTGTCCATGGGCGGCGCTGATTGCTTAACATCAGGTAATCCGTCTGCTCGTTTGCCGACCTATTACATTAAAAAAAAAAAAAAATTTTTTTATATATTATTATATGCATAAGCTGGCAGACGAACCGACGGATTACCTCATGGCAAGCAATCAGCGCCGCCTATAGACACCCGCAAAAACAGAGGAATTACAAGTGCGTTACCGGCCTTTTGGGGATAAGGTTTTTAGGATATTTAGAGATTTTGTCTCCGGTAACCTCACACACACGGCGAAAGACGACGCTGTGGTTGTTTCACGCCGGTTTTCTGTGAGGCCGTGGTATCACTCCGGTCGAGCCGACCCATTCGTGCCGAAGCATGGCTCTCCCACACTTGAAATGTGACGGATGACACATGACATATGCAGACGGATTATCTGATGGTAAGCAATCAGCGCCGCCGCCAATTTCCGAGCACCGTCAGCGCGGGTCTGGGGACAGCGAGCAAGGTGTATCCGTCGTAAAAAGGGTCGGTAAACAATAAAATAAACTCATTAATTAATGATAATTATATTTATCCAAATCCCAAGTTTCCTCCACTGGCCACCGCTGGACGAAACGTTTTCTTGTCGTTGTCATATTTGGGGGCATACCGAGTTTTTTCATCAAGTACCTCTGTCTTAGAAGACTCTTCTTCGCCTGTTCCATTTCCTTCTTTTTCGTCATTTCTTCTTGTTCTGAAAAGAAAAAACTGGCATGGGGTAAAAGGAAACCTGGATTTCTAATTACAAATTTGACTGCACGGTTGGCGCGGTGCCTTGGCAACTGGCTGGCGCGCAGCGTGTGTTATCCATCCATAAATTGTCGTGTGTCGTGATGGCCCGGAGGTTAAGGAGCCCGCTTCTCATGCATGAGGGGGTGGGTTCGAGCTTGGCTAGTACCAATGTGATGTTTTCCGAGTCATATGTACTTTCTATGATTATTTAGACACCACTGACGTACGGTGAAGGTAAACATCGTGAGGAAACCTTGACTTATAATTTCAATTATAAGTTTGAAATCGCCAACCCGCATTGAGCGGGCGTGGTGATTAATGCAGCAGGAGCCGGCTGGGTGGAAGTAATCAACAAAACAATATTTTCCCAGTGAGATCCCCACCCAATTCTTACTCTATCCAATCTCTCCAATCCTTCTAAATGGCGCGACCGCATTTTTGCTTGGTGTTGCAGCGGATATTCATATCCCCTGTAGCGACATCTAGCGCACTACATTAACAACAGCACCAATCACGTGCAAGAGTCTACATCGCGCTATAAGAGTTTTTAACACAATTAGCACCCATACAGATATCCCGACAACAACTGTCGGGCAGTAGCCCACCAGGCACGAACACCTCGCCTGGTCGGAGGATCCTCCCTTTTCAATGGAGGATGAGGAACTTTCCACCCTGTTCCTCATACCTCTAAACCCCAAAAGGCCAGCAACGCACTCGTAATTCCTTTGGTGTTGCGGATGTAAATGGGCGGCGCTCAGTGCTTACTATCAGGGGCCCGAGTCTACTATTTTCAAAGTGTTGTCATTCCTACACGATTCCTTTGTCGTTTTGCTAAAAGTTCGTAATCTGTTAATTCGAAATGGCTGATCATTGGCGTTCGGCGATGTTGTAATATAATTAGGTATAGTACGAGATGTCTTGTGACGAATTATAAACAATAACTGCACTTTAATATTCTAAACGTAAATCATTGAATAAAGGAACTCATTTCTTTTTTATTAATTTATAGCAATATGTCAAATATTCTTTTGTCATTATGTACGAGATTACCGTTCTAAAGAAATTTTTCAATGAAGTGGCATTGGGAGGTCATAATTGTGTTAGTGTTGTAATGTGTGTAAATGTGTTAGTAGATTACCAAAACTTGTCAAAATCAACAATTTTGCAACCAATGATCTACTATTCTGACACTATCGTAATAGCAGACTCGAGGCCCTGGTAATCCGTCGGTACGTTTGCCGACTTAATCAATAAAAAAAATGCTGAGTAAAGGTCGCTTCTCGAACATCCGATTTGCCACTTACCCATCTGCAACTGCTCCAAGCTTGGAGGCTTGCCTATTTGAATATTAACCGTACTTAGACCTGAAAGAAGAATGAAAGAAAAAATCGGTTAGAAATGAAGAATAGGCCAATCCTTCTCCTCCCCCAATCCCTCCTCAATCCCTAAATCTCCAAATCCCTTATCCCTAAAAAGTCGGCAACGCACTCGTAACTACTCCGTTGCGAGTGTCCATGGGCGGCGCTGATTGCTTACCATCAGGTTATCCGTCTGCTCGTTTGCCGATCGTTTACATAAAAAAATCATCCAGATTTTGTTTTTAAACATTGACCCACACTAAGATTTTCTACAGTATCGTGAAAGCGTTGAGCGAGCGTGGTGATAAATGCTCAAACCTTTTTCGTGTGGGAAGAGGCCTTTGTACAGCAGTGGACACTTACAGGCTTTTTTTTTTGTCAGGGGAAAATCATCAAATGACTTCTCCCGGCCAGGGTGGGGCGGGAGGTAGTGTCAGACTCTTACTGACTAAGAACCCCCCCGTTCCTTCTCCTGGTCTGGGCCGAGGTCGCGGTGCCTCATTGCGCTTACCCCGCAACCCCGGCTGAACATCAGGCCTATAGGGCCCCGTCTGTGGTGGTCTATTGGCTCTTTGAGACGCGCGCGGAACGCTACGCGCCGTACGGCTCGGGCCTGGTTCTGGTCGGGCGGCGAGCTACCCTTACTCGCCGTCCGCAGACCCGCGCTTACGGTGGCCGGAGATCATCTCTCGGGACACTTATAGGCTGACAACGTGATTTGATATGACGATCGGATACTAAACCTGGCAAAGCCTCTTCTTCCAATACTTTCAACATATAGTCTATTTCCATTTCCAAATAGTGTACGAGTTCCATCGTGATTATATAATATATCGGCTTCAGCTCGTTCATGCCCGGCGGGTACAATTTCAATCGTTTGTGCCTTTTGTGCATTAATTCGTTATATAAGTCCAACATATACTGATATTTTTCACGTACTTTTCCTGTAACATCAATAATGTGATAATTTAAAGGTAATGTCTGCAAGAGTGAGTAAGGAGTGCGTTTCCGACCTTTTAAGGATAAGGGGTGCAGATATTTATGAGTTGGGAAGGATAGGGGAGGGGGAGGATTCTCAGTGCCACCATTGTGGTGATTGCCGCGACGATACGGCGCTGCATATGTTTGCGGAGTGCCCAGCTTGGGCCGAGCAGCGCCGTGTCCTGGTCGCGGCCGTAGGTGTTGCGGGAAATCTCTCGCTTCCACCTGTAGTGTCTACTATGGTCGGGAGCGAGTCAGGGTGGAGTGCCGTCGCTACCTTCTGCGAGGCCGTGATGCTCGCAAAGGAGGCGGCGGAAAGGGAGAGAGAGGCTGCCTCCTCTCCCCTCCCGCAGCAGACGCGCTAGACGTAGTAAGGTGTCGTCCGAAAAGCAGTAGACCTCGAGGCGGCGGTGCCGTGTTCCGCGCGCGTCTCATAGTGGAGTCCTGCGGTTGGGGTGACGGCCGCAGTGGGTGATGGGGCCCGCCTAACAATCTGGTGGGTCAATACCCGTCGGGGGGATGCGACGAATGCTTCGGCGATACCCACCTCCCAACACATGGGTAATTGGAGGAACACCGGGTTGGTTTTTAGTCAGTAGGAGTCTGACAGTACCCTTTGCCCTTCCCCGAGGGTGGTGGGTCTCCATGAGGATTTTCCAACACGACGCCAAAAAAAAGGGAAGCATTGGGCCTCCGACAACTTCACTCACACAGCAAAACACAACGTTTTGGTTGTTTCACGCCGGTTTTCTGTGCTGACACTCCGGTCGAGCCGACACATTCATGCCGAAGCTTGGCTCTCCCACATTTTGCGATGAAAAAAAAGTAGGCAGTGAGATTGTAAGCGTTTTATAATAATTAAATTAATGGTAGCTCGCCACCGGACCAGAAACAGATCATACGTGTGTGTCCACCCGACCAGCAGTGTGATTCTGTAAGACTTCATTCTAAATTTCGAATCTGAATCCGCTGTGAGTAGTACACTAGCGCTACACTTGCGAGTTGAACTAAATTGACAGCAACATTTTGATAGATAAAGTATGAGATGACGTTAAAAGTGGTATTCTAAAATTTAATTTCCCCGTCATTTCGACGCTCACTTCGCACTCGAACACGATTCTAAATCAAACAAATTTTATAGAATCGACGTGCAGAACTGACATAAGTGTGGGAGAGCCATGCTTTGGCATGGATGGGTCGGCTCGACCAGAGTGATACCACGGTCTCACAGAACACCAGAACAACCGCAGCCGTGAAACAACTACACCGTTGTGTGTCGGAAACCGTGCGAGAGTAGCTGGTACCTAATATTATTTATTTTCAGTCATAACCTGGGTGTGTTCAAGGCCCGAGTGAATAGGTTGCTTATGGGTAGAAGTGCTCGCATATATTACCTCTTTATAATATCAGTCTATGATTATTTAGACACCACAGACATAAGGTGAAGGCAAACATCGTGAGGAAACCTGAACTTATAATTTCTAATTATAAGTTTGAAATCGCCAACCCACATTGAGCAAGCGTGGTGATTAATGCTCTTAACTTCTCCGTATGAGAAGAGGCCTTTGCTCAGCAGTGGGCACTTATAGGCTGATGATGATGATGATAATATCAGTAAAGATAATGATGATATTACCTATAATCAATCCGACGTGGAAAGCAGTAATTTCCGCATGTTCTTCTTTTACAGCGAAGAGTTGTCTCATTTGTAGAACCGCTTCCACAACCAGCTCTTCAGTCAACGCTATGATCTTCTCCTTGTCTTGTTTCCCCATACGATCGTCATATTCGTGGTACTTTTCGTCAGCTGTACTTGCTACAAACATTTTTCTTTTTTAATTGTTTTTTTTTTCAAAAAGTCAAAAGTCAAAAGTCAAAAATCATTTATTCCAATTAGACCTCTACAGGCACTTTTGAACGTCAAACAAAATTTTTAAGATATAGTGTCAATCTGTCGGTCAGTCCTCTTAGTAAAGCTATTTGCTCTTTCCAAAGTGTAGTTTAAGTGTAGTTTTGATTCTGTGTAATGTGTACTTATGTGGTGAACACATCTTTGTGAGAGTGAGACGGAGAGAAAATTTTCTGAAAACTACCTACCGCTCCTGCATTTGTTGACTATCCCCTCACAAAAAAAGAGTCCCGTTGTGACTTGAAACTGTATCGACTTATACCTACGCGGGCTTAGCCACGGCACAGTATAAATATCATACAGTATTGTAACTCGGCCGCTTGAAAGAAATAAATACCTACAGCCGCGCGGTACGTAAACATGCGTTAGGGCTGCTCGTCTCCAGTATTTTAATTACCTTTGTCTACTTTCTGTTTCCATTTAGTTTTGTGATTGTAAATATCCTTTTTTTTATATAAACAAATAAAGTGCTTTAAAAATAAACAAACAAAATTTCTTTGGCCACTAATGCCGAACTGAACAGCTGACTACGAATGTTCTAAAATCACAACCCTCAAACATCAAAATATTACATGAGTCTAGCTGTTTTATTGTTGTTATTAAATATTTTCTAGTATTATTCATAAACGCAGATAATAAACAAATATTATTAATAATAAAATACCACACTCTCTACTTTGAATTATACAAACTAACAAAACATACATGAACCGTTTTAACACAAGCGTAAGTAGGTAGGTACCTAACGTATCATGATTCATTCAGAACCAGAACCGCCTATAACTACCTATTTCACTCGTCTCAATAACTTTATTCATATTATTTATAAATCAAAACATCTGTTTTCGTGAGATAACTGGAAATAATGATCCATAAAGACACACATTATGTACCTACCTAGGCTACTAGTAAGTAAAATTATTTTATAGTCTTACCTTTCAGAGTTTCCAGGTAATTTAAAAAAAACTTATGTCTGGATGCGTTATTGACGAATTCATGCAACCAAACATAATAACAGTACAATATTTCCTATTCGTCATATTAAATAATGTACTCGAGCTGATTTCTAAATAAAAGACAACACACCGTCCGTTCGTCACTGCGGTACAGCCGCGTCTGTCTGCGTCCCGAGCGCGTCCCGACATCGGGCGCGTAGGTATAGTTCGCGTTTCGGCCGTTTCTATGAAGTTGAAATACTTGTAGATATTATTACCTTGGCCACGGGCAGCCGCTAGCCTTATATAAAAAAAAGAATTGCATAAATACTTACATAGAGTATATTTTAAAAAGAGGAAACACAATACAATTTTTAATTTACACATTTTGAGTATCTGGAAGATTAATTGAAAATATTATTATCTAGACATTTTGATCGTACATTTTTAGCTTAAGGTGGGGGAACTTTTAACAGGAATAGATTGTTTTATGGGATAAGTCAGCAATCGAGCAGACGGATTACGTGATGGTAAGCAATCGATGCCGCCCATGGACACCCACAGATTACAGGAGGCCTAATCTTTGCCCTACCCCAATCCGTTCGGGCACGCTACCATAGCAGCGGTAAGACCCCTCTTTGAGGAGTGGCTTGAGAGACGCCACGGCGTCCTCACCTTCCGTCTGACGCAGGTGCTTACCGGGCACGGCAGCTTCGGTAGGTTCCTGTTTCGGATTCAGCGGGAGGAAACGCCCGAGTGTCGTCATTGTGAGGACCACCTAGAGGATACGGTGGAGCATACGGTAGCGGTATGCCCTGCCTGGGCTGAGCACCGCCGTATCCTCAGGGAAGTGATCGGCGGCGGCGACCTCTCGCGCCCGGCCTTAGTCGAGGCCATGGTGCGGAGTGAGAGGAACTGGGACGCCGTCTCCTCCTTTTGTGAAGCGGTCATGCTCGCAAAGAGAGAGGCGGCCCGCGTGAGGGAGCAATCCTCCTCCTCGCGCCCCAGCAGCCGCAACTGGCGACACTACGGGCGTCGGGGATCGAGGGACGATCTCCGGCCACCGTAAGTACGGGCCTGCGGTCGGCGAGTAAGGGCAGCTCGCCGCCCGACCAGAACCAGGCCCGAGCGTACGGCGCGTAGCGTTCCGCGCGCGCCTCAAAGAGCCAATAGACCACCACAGACGGGGCCCTAAAGGGCTGATGTTCAGCCGGGGTTGCGGGGTAAGCGCAATGAGGTACCGCGACCTCGGCACAGAGCAGGAGAAGGAACAGGGGGGTTTTTAGTCAGTAAGAGTCTGACACTCCCTCCTGCCCGGCCCTGGGCGGGAGAAGTCATTTGATGATTTTCCCCTCACAAAAAAAAAAAAAAAAAAAAACCCCAATCCGTTCCCTTTCCCAAAATCTCCAAATCCCTAATCCCTAAAGGTCGACAACGCACCCGTAACTCCTGCCGTAACTAACCGTTACTCTAGCCGTTGCGGGTGTCCATGGGCGACGCTGATTGCTTACCATCAGGTAATCCGTTTGCTCGTTTGCCGACCTTTGTTTAAGAAAAGAAGAAAAAGACCCGCAGCACCAAAGGAGTTACGAGTACGTTGCCGGCCTTTTAAGGATAAGGGTTGCGGATATTTATGGATTGGGAAGGGATAGGGGAGGGGAAGGGATTGCATGGGCCTCTAATAACCTCAATCACACGGCGAAACACAACGTTGTGGTTGTTTCACGCCGGTTTTCTGAGAGGCCGTGGTATCACTCCGGTCGAGTCGACCAATTCGTGCCACATTCGATCAGACGATGAAAATACTTTTGATTAAGCGTACCCTGTCATCATCACTTTTGGTTAAACAAAAGAAGAATGGAGTAGCTAACTAAAAAACTATTTATCACACGTCCACTCTCCGTATTTCCTACAAACTATGAATTTCATACTATCACTTGTAATTAAATAACTAATCAGTTTTATAGGTTTTTGTTAATAACATTTTAGTATTTAGCGACCTGCCCCGTCTTCGCACGAGTGCATTTAGACGAAAGTTCACGCTACGTCATTAATATACGTAATATACGTCATATTTCTCCACTATGTCCATCGCTTGTTGGTGGAATGCGTCAGGACCCGAGCTGCTAGAGAGGTGCTAATGAGTATGTACATTTAAATTAATTTGATGAATTTTGGTTTTGTTCAAAGTATATTATTAGCGGTTCATGTTATTTTATTTGTATCCTTATCTTTTATTTAAATTTTAATGTATTCGTCTACAACACAACATGTGTAGTTTTAATATCTACTTGTAACAGAAGTTCATTGATTAAGTTATTGTAAAGTTCCGCTACTCACTATTAGATGGCGCTGTGCCTTTGACCCTCGCTGGATCAGTGAACTTATTTAATCAAGCTTTTAACTCGACAAACCAGGAGGTGCATCCGCGGACCTCGTCCACCCTGGAAAGGTCACGTAGGTAGAACACCCCAGATAGCCCGTGTAAATAGTAAATTCCTTAGGGAATCGCTTTTGGTTGGAGGACATCGTCCCCGGACTTGGTCGTGTGGAACTATACCTACTCCTATTTCCGGTAGTGAAACCCGCTGTAAAAACTTACATATAAAAATCGCCTGAAGACATCTACTTTGTTTCCTTCTGGTGTGACGTCACAGCACCCCCTCCTACATTCGTAATTTTCCTTAGTTTAATGTTTATGTTTACAAACGGTAGTTGATGTGTACATCTGAAAGATATACATACAAGATCTCTGTCTCAGTCATAAAATTAAGAAAATGTATTTTATGTATATTGTTGATGTACCTTATTGAATAAAATAATATAAAATTATCAGAGCCTGTTTTGAATGCAGCTATTTTACTTTACAAAATAGTATATAAGGTTTTTAAGTCGGAATAACGTTAATCTTGTTTTAGGTTATGATGGGGCTGGCGTGGTCGTATTGTGACCAAAAGCCCCTAAATTTATAGTAGATAATAAAAAAAATCTCCATTCAAATCTACACTTTAGAACGAGCACCTAGCTTCACTGACGAACAGACTACTATTCTATTTTGACATTTCAAAAGTACCTATTTATGGTTTAGTTGGAATAAATGATTTTGAATTTGACTTTGAAATGACTTAGAAGTTCAACTATAGTTGTAGCAGTACGATTACAGAGTACCTAGCTAATTCAATATTTGATTGAGGTATTTTATCCGACATCAAACGCCAGCCGGGATAGCGGGGTAAGCGCAATGAGGCACCGCGACCTCGGCCCAGAGCAGGAGAAGGAACAGGGGGGTTTTTAGTCAGTAAGAGTCTGACACTCCCTCCCGCCCCGCCCTGGGCGGGAGAAGTCATTTGATGATTTTCCCCTCGCAAAAAAAAGCAGACGTACTACCCTCGTTCCTTTTCCTGGCCTAGGGCAAGGCCACGGTGCTTTATTTCGCTTACCCCTCAACCCCGGCTGAACATCAGCCCTATAGGGCCCCGTCTGTGGTGGTCTATTGGCTCTTTGAGGCCTTTGAGGCCTTTGAGGCCTGGTTCTGGTCGGGCGGCGAGCTATCCTTACGCGCCGTCCGCAGACCCGCATTTACGGTGGTCGGAGATCGGCCGGCTACGCGCCTGTGATTCCTCTGATGTTGTAGGTTTCCATGAGCGGCGCTGATCACTTACCATCAGGCGATCCGTCTGCTTGTTTGCCTCCTAATCCTTTCTAGCTTTATTTTAATACCACTGACATGCGGTGAAGGAAAGCATCGTGAGGAAACCTAGACTTATTATAAGTTTGAAATCGCCAATTCTCTTGAGCTTGGTGTGATGCTCCAACCTTCTCCGTGTGAGAGAGGGCTTTGCTCGGCTATGGTCTCTTACAGGTTTTAAAATTGAACAGCCAATGCTGGTATTCTGCAGCTAACGGTACTACTTCGTCTCATGAAACTGCTATGTAGTTTGGGAGAGCCATGCTTTGGCATGATAGGTCAGCTCGACAGGAGATATAACACACCACGGTCTCAAACAGACCTGAAACTGCGTTTGTGTTGGGAAGTTTTTGCAGACTTTATCCTATCCCTCTCCCATCCGATCTTTAACCAACCCTAAAAAGGACAAATGGGTCCTGCACGTCGATTCTATAAAATTTGTTTGATTTTGAATCGTGTTCGAGTGCGAAGTGAGCGTCGAAGTGACGGGGTAGTTAAATTTTAGTAGGTCACTTTTAACGTCATCTCATACTTTATCTATCAAAATGTTACTGTCAATTTAGTTCAACTCGCAAGTGTAGTGCTAGTGTACTACTACTCACAGCGGATTCAGATTCGAAGTTTAGAATGAACTCTTACAGAATAACACCCTTACCATACATATACTTTTCTCCACATACCTTTTTTCGATTGCTAGGAATTGAAGGATGCCGTAAGTTGCGGGTGAAGCGCAATGAGTCACCGCGGCCTCGGCCCAGAGCAGGAGAAGGAACGGGAAGGGAGTTTAGTCAGTGAGAGTCTGACTCTCTCTCTCGCCTCACCCTGGGCGGGAGAAGTCATTTGATGATTTTCCCCTTAGAAAAAAAAGGATTGGGGATGGTAGGTAAATATTGAGCCTACGGTAACCTTAGTTATACGACGTAACATGCTAGTATTGTTGGGCCTCCAGTAACCTCACTCACACGGCGAAACACAACGCTGTGGTTGTTCCCCACTGACCAGAGTAATACCAAGGCCTCACAGAAAGCCAGCGTGAAACAAGAGAGGCCCATCCTTCCCCTCCCATTGGGGGCAGTAGAAGGATGGAATCCCAAAATCTCCAAACCCCTAATCCGCAAAAGGTCGGTCGTTCATTGCTTACCATCAGGTAATCCGTCAGCTCGTTTGCCGTGCTATCACATAAGAAACAAAATACTCTTGAACGAATTTTATTTGTAAATGAATAAAACATTTTTTTTTATTTTCTTCAAAGAAAACACCTTAAGGAATTGATTATTGAGCATCGGTATTGCTTTCGTTTCGTTTACTGATCGCCCTCATAGTGTCTATAAGATGGTTTATCTCAATCGCTTGATTGGAGATTTGTTCGTACGCGTTAATATGCTCAATGGGTTTCCACTCGTGGAAGAGACGATTCAGTGTCATAGATATATCTGACATAATATTATATTTGTCCATAACATCCCCCATTAGGTATCCAACTTCGAATACTGAAGAGTTTTTGTAATGCGCACGAATAAGATCAGCTCTTTTACATTTCAAATCGCTATCTCTTATCGTCTCATACATGAGCCTAAATAGCTTCAGTCTCATACTGTTATCATCATCATTCTGATCTCTTGCTTCTTCATCCTGTCTTCTTTCAGCCACCAAGTATTGGATCTCAGGCATTCTCCGCTTTGGCATAGTCTCTGACGAATGATGATCACTTCTGGCGGATTTTTGATTGTCTTTTATGAGCATCATTTTTACTGGCCAGGATAGCTCGTGGAATATGGAGGAGTTAAAAGTTTTCTTCGACGACTCGCTGACGGAGAGAACGTCTGTGGAAATCAATTTGCATTTATTAAAGTTATTTAGTAAAGTATACTTTATTAAGTGTGGGATTGCCATTTTTCGGCACGATTGGACCAATTAGATCGGAATGATGCAATGGCCCCACAGTAGACCCTCCCGTTCCTTCTCCTGCTCAAGAGCCAAGGCCGCGGTGCTTCATTGCACTTACCCCGCAACCCTTACTGAACATTAGCCCTATAGGGCCCCGTCTGTAGTGGTCTATTGACTTTTTGAGGTGCGCGCGGAACGCTATGCGCCGTACGCTCAGATCTAGTTCTGGTCGGGCGGCGAGCTACCCTTACTCGCCGTCCGCAGACCCGCCGGTTTGTCTGTCGATCCCGGATACCCAGACTGTCGTCTACTGCGGTGGCTGGGGCGTTAGGAGGGGGATAGCTAGTTCCATAACGCACTCTGCCTCCTTCTTCGCGAGCATATCTGCTTCACTGAAAGCGGAGACGGATTCCCAGTTACTCTATTCCAGTTCTTATGTAATAGGTCGGCAAACAAGCAGACGGATTACTTGATGGTAAGCAGTCAGCGCCGCCCGTGGACACTCGCAATACCAAAGAAGTAACTACAAGTGCATTGACGGCCTCTTAAGGGATATTAGGGATCTAGGGATAGGATTTGAGGAATGAGGATGGGAAGGGGTAGGGTTGGGCTTCCGTATATCAGGGTGTATCATGGTCAGAGTGGCTGAAACCGGCTGATTTCTCTTCTTTAAGCTACAGAAAAAAAAACTGACTTTTTCCGAGTTATATGCACTTTTAAAGGTTACCTTTACCTTGACTGCGGCTGAACAGAAATATCGTGAGGAAATTTGGACTTATAATTTCTAATATTGAGTTCGAAATCGCTTATCCTGGAGAGAAAGTGTGGTGATGAATTTTCATATATTCTTCTTATTTAATTTCACTACATAGTTCGGCAAACGAGCAGGCGGATTACCTGATGGTAAGCAATCAGCGCCGCTTATTGACACTCGTAGTACCAAAGGAGTCGCTTCAAATGCTGGCATCTTGTTGGTTATTCTGGATTGACAGATAGGGGATTTGAGGATTGAATATGGGGGGGGGGGGGAGGTGTCGGAGGGTCTCCGGTCTTATAATGAAAACACAAAGAATGTTATACGATAATTCATGTATTTATCATTTCTTTCACATCTACCAATGATAATCAATCTCCCATCCGTATTCGATCGGCCAAGGCGACGGCTTGGGCTTGGTAACAGGATTCATCTTATTGAAGATGTATTGCTTCTTATCAAATTTATACAGCTTCAACTTCCTCTTCTTATCTTTATCCCAGTAACGCGTTGGGACTACTGGCATCGTTTGAGCCCACTCATCGAATTCATCAGGCAGGTCCCCTTTCCCTGTCCCTTTCCCTTTCTTTTTCCCTTTACCTTTACCTTTTCCATGCCCTTCTTTATCTCCGTGAGGGGCTGACCCTCCCATTTTCTTTGCTAACGCTTCAGCCTCCTCTTCCAATTTATTCTTATCAAAGAATGGCTCGTCCAGATATGTCGTTATATTATATTTTCTTTCAACTTCATGAAGCATGCTCCCTGAAAATTTTATACTATTTACCCGACTACGGCAAAGCAAAAGGAGGGTTATGAGTTTGACAGGCTATGTATGTATGTATGTATGTATGTTAATCTGTTCCCTCCTAACTTCTAAACTACTTATCAGAATTCGACATATGACATATCATTAGAAACATCTTAATAATTGTCCGCTGGTTATAGGGTATATTTGATTTATTACAAAATCTAATGTGGCGTCCTCTGACGGACAAAAAACCATAGTAAAAAAATAAAGTTAAGATAATTATACCGTGTTTGGTATCATTTTAAAGCGCTTTACTTGTACATGTTGAATACATATATATTACTAGTATTTGCTCGTGACTTTTCTTGTATTCATGGGCTGATTGCATACAATTCACATCTTTTCGTTTATAATACCTTTTACTACTCAATATTAGTTCATTCTTTTGTTGATATTAGCGCCACAAATACAACAATGTAATATCAAAAACGAGTTTGATTTAATGCAAAACCAATTTTAATAATATGTTACAAAATATCGAAATAAAATCTTGATACAAAACTAAGTTTGTATCTTAATTCTTACTGATTTGAACTATAACATCTCACATATATTATTAGCTGAATTGTTAGTTTATAAATGGCCAAAGTCCCAAGTTGTGCAAGTTTGGTGGTTAATGCTTAGCAGTGGGCACTTATAGCCTGATGACGTTGATTTTGAGCGAAAACCAAAAGATTTGCGGAAAATTCATTGAAAACAATTCATCGAACACATTTATAGAAAAATTTCGCCGAACGACAACGGTAATTTCATCCTGTATGTGTGTGTGTTTGAGCGCGCGCTGCATAATATAATATAAACTTACTCAAATGTTCGATTTCAAAAAAGTGTACTTCAATGTCTTCGAGTAACAGTAGAAATTCAAGTAAATAAAACCTATATTCCGAATATATTGTGCTATTATATTTGTCAACCAATCGTCTATACTTCTCCAACATTATAAAACCTATATAGCCAACCTGAAAAAAAAACAACAAAGTACACTAGTTTTTAACCAGTCAAATCCAAACTAATAATAGGTCTTTACCTATGAAATTGCCGTTCTGCAGTACTGGCCATTTCAAATCAAAATAGTTTTTGTGAGGCTCTCCCGGTTTCTGAAAGGCTACGCTAAAATTAACTAATATACTATTAAATCTCTTGTCAAGTCATCTGATTGGTTGTTGATAATTCAGTCAACCAATCAGATGACTTGACAAGAGATTAAATTGATTTTAACATTGACAAGCCTTTCAGAAACCAGATGCAAATTAATTTTGTTTTAAAAACATGTGATTCTTTTTCCAAAAGTAGTCATTTGTTTATTGATGAGTGTTACATTTTCATCGCATTTTTAATAAAAAAATTCGTTTAAATTTTTTCGTGCAAAACGGCAATTTCATAGGTAAAATATGCGAAAGTAACTCTGTCTGTCTGTCTGTCTTTTCTTCACGCCTAAGAAATACTACTGAATCGACTTCTGTGAAATTTGGTACAGACATAGTTTGGAACTCGAGAAAGGACATAAGATAGTTTTTATAGGTACCAAAAATCTGCAGGAAGTCAGTATTCCACGCGAACGAAGTCGCGGGCAAAAGACATTAGATAAATATGAGTAGGTAGACATACCTCAAATGCTGCCGTATTCATACTGTCCTGTTTAATAAATTCAACAGAATCTATAAGGCGATAGGTCGTCCTAATGGTTCCATCTATCATATGGTGTAGAATTTTGGTTACGGCTTCAGTACCCCAGTCTGTGTAAAACGCAATGTTGTTTTTTTTTATGTAATAGGTCGGCAAACGAGCAGACGGATTACCTGATTGTAAGCAATCAGCGCCGCCCATGGACACCCGCAACGGAGGAGTTACGAGTGCGTTGCCGACCTTTTAGGGATTAGGGATTTGGAGATTGGGGGAGGGAAAGGATTGGGCATCCGGTAACCTCGCTCACACGGCGAAACACAACGCTGTGGTTGCTTAACGCCGGTTTTCTGTGAGGCCGTGGTATCACTCCGGTCGAGCCGACCCATTCGTGCCGAAGCATGACTCTCCCACACTTAAAATGATGATTCACGACTTCTTTTTGGTTGGTTGGAATGATTAAATAACACTGAAAAACTGCCTCAACTAACAACCTATAACCACATAATCAAACCAACTAAATAATGTATCAAAGAATCTGTATGTGACACTGATTTAAAAAGAGTAACCATGGAGTTTCTTGCTCGTTCTTCTCCATCGAAATCTACACTTTGGAACGAGCGAACAGCTTCACTAAGAGGACTGACTGACAGACTGACACTATATGTCTTTAAATTTTGTTTGACGTTCAAAAGTGTCTGTGTGGGTCTAATTGAAATAAATGATTTTGAATTTGACTTTGACTCTAGTGTCGGATTCATGGCTACAATTTGACTAGTATTACCTACATACAGATTATTTTTTATCTATTGACATTTTTTTTTATTTATTTATTGACTTTTTAACCGTTTAAGTAAATACGGACAAGAATTCTATCAAGTAGAACTTTCTAGGAAAAATATTTTGAAATCAATGCGTCGAACGGTTTTTTAAATAATATAAGTACTCACAAAAAATAATGAACCAATTTTTTTATTTATCTTAGTACCTACCGTATTTACTATGCAAGCATTTTTCTTACTCGGTACGAAACTTCTTTCGAATAAAAAAATATTTCTTAGAATCGGTTTACGTAATCCAAAACATAGAAAACCCGCCTAGGTTTATATAAACGGAGGCCAACGGGGCCCTATAAGGCTGAACATCAGCCTTATAGGGCTGAACACCAGCCCTATCGGGCCCCGTTTGTGGTGGTCTATTGGCTCTTTGAGGCGCGCGCGGAACGCTACGCGCCGTACGCTCGGGCCTGGTTCTGGTCCGCCGTCCACAGACCCATGCTTTAGCGTCTCTCGATAACGGTGACTCTCTCAACTTAGTTAGCCGCTTAGTTGAGCTTTTCTTAGTTAAGTCACGTTAGTAAGTTGTTATCTATAGTAAGCGCACAACTTAACAACGCCTGGACCAATTTTGACAATTCTTATTTTGTTCTGTTAGTTCTTTTTCTTTTTCTTTTCTTTCTTTTCGGTACGGTGGCCGGAGAGCATCTTTCGGCGCACCGTTAACGTAAACCTTTGTTGACAACAAGGGTATACCAAAGATTACATTTGATAGAGCAGGACGGCGTGATTGAACATGTCAACAAACGCGACGTTAACGTTGCTCTGACGCGACGTTGACGCTGCGCAAACACAACGTTGACGTCAACGCTTGTAAAACGCTTACCGTGAATACGAAACCATACATTGAGCGTACACCGATACCACAGTATAAATAAATAATACAATCCATAATAACAATTCATAATAATACAATCCATTTTTATACTGTGCCCATACGCTCTAGACCGTTTTTTTTTTATTTCATAGATCGGCAAACGAGCAAACTAATTACCTAATGGATACTCTGTCTGTGGACCATAGACAAGACTTGTTTTAGATTGAGACCTAGTACTTTAACTGTATAAACACACCAGGGATGTTGCGAACATTCGCATCCGCATCCGCAAATGCGGAACATCTGCATTGATTTGGACATCTGCATCTGCATCCGCATCCGCATTAATCAATGCGAATGTTCATGCGGATGCGAATATTATAAAAGTAGGCGACAAGAAAGAGAGAGAGCGAACCTCTGTGTAATAGACTCGATTCAGAAAAGGCGGCAGTACTACTTTTTTAAAAATATAATGCGCCCATTTTTTATTTTAATTATTAATTCTTACAAATTTGAAACAATTTAAAAAAATTATTAGCTCCTTCATTTTTTATTCAACATATTTTTTTATCTAATCATCTTTTTTATTTAACATAAAAATAAGTAGTACTTATTTTTTTTATTAAACTAAGTAGTTTGTGTTTGATTACAATAAAAATCAAATTGTTTTAATTCTTCATTAATAGGCTTTGTTTACATAATATCTTAAACATCCGCATCCGCGGATGTGAGCCTGCAAAACTCCGCGTCCGTATCCGCGGATGCGAGAAAATCGGCATCCGAAATATCCCTGAAACACACTACGTCGAAATTCCGCGACCGAATGTCACTATTAGAATGAAATAGCATGCTATTAGAATGAAATAGCAATGTCGGCGTGACATTCGGTCGCGTAATTTCGGCGTAGTGTGTTTATACAGTAAGTTTTTGGTATGCTTTTCTTTTTAATTTATTTCTGTCATATTTTCATATTAGGTGCCTTCGCTTTCTATATAATGTCTTTTTTTTAACCCCCGACGCAAAAAGAGGGGTGTTATAAGTTTGTCTGTCTGTGGCTTCCTGGGGCCTGAACGGGTGAAGCGATTTCAATTTAGTTTTTTTTTGTATTAAAGGTGACTTACGTGCGAATGTTCTTAGACATGTTTGACGAAAATCGGTTGAGCCGTTTAGGAGTAATGGGGGGGGGGGGGGGGGGGGGGTAAGTGTGGAAGGGTAACCGAAGGTCTGCAAATATACTCGAGTGGGGTCTCAAATGAAAGCGCACTGGAAGGGAATGTTGATGACTTAATCGTTAGGCAATGATATAAAAAGTATAAAATAAAAATATAAATTAGACCCCCGACAAAATAGAAATATGTAGTTGATAATAAAATGTATGGATCGATCCCCAACGCCACGTTTTCTTTTAATTATTACTTTTTAAGGGCAGCTCGCCGCCCGACCAGAACCAAGCCCGAGCGTACGGCGCGTAACGTTCCGCGCGCGCCTCAAATAGCCAATAGACCACCACAGACGGGGCCCTATAGGGCTGATGTTCAGCCGGGGTTGCGGGGTAAGCGCAATAGTCACCGCGACCTCGGCCCAGAGCAGGAGAAGGAACAGGGGTGTTTTTAGTCAGTAAGAGTCTGACACTCCCTCCTGCCCGGCCCTGGGCGGGAGAAGTCATTTGATGA